TTAAACTGATAAAAATAGTACTAAACACACCACTCCTATCTGGTGTCACATTAGCTTGACCGCGCAGTGCCCCAAATTTAATGTGATCTGTGAGTAAGGTAAACGGTTGTCCATACAAGTAGGTTGCAGCTTTTGAGGGCCCACACCACCGCCATGCACTCCTTTTCAATGGCAGTGAATATACTTCGCTGTGCAAAAGCTTACGGCTTAGATAAAAATCAATGCCGTGTACACGTCCACTGATAGGAGACGCGGAAGGTATTAAACTGATCAGAACAATACTAAACACACCACTCCTTTTTTTTGGTGAGGCTTTACAGGACAGAGTGCTTCTCCACGGGACATGTTAACTCACGGGCAGCTGGCTCATCAAGGAACCACAGCAGCTTTCCATGTACAGGTAAGACACGTGCAGCCGGTAAGGGTTCAGGCTCTTCTTCCTGGAGGATACGCTGCAAGCCTGTTGAACGAGGTGACCTTGCTCGGGTCCCAGGTGTACGGTTCCTAAAATGGCTGCCATATACACGTCCACTGATAGGAGACGCGGAAGGTATTAAACTGATCAGAACAATACTAAACACACCACAAATAAGGTTTCTTTCCTGTATGGCTCCTCAAATGATGCTTAAGATTAGAAGCGGCTGAAAAGCATTTCTCACACTCAGAACAAAAATATATTTTTTTAACATTCTCTCCACTTTGAACGAAATGACGTTTGGGAAGAGATTAACATAATTAAACACAGGCAGTAAAAATACAGTTTTTAGCCATACCCTGTAACTTTAAAACTACACATCCCATCTTCATAATTACATATTTGGAATCAGCACACTTAAAACATAAACATAACCAAAAATCAGCCAAATCCATCCAGGGGTTAAAAAGTTAGCTGGAGGTCCCTTTATGACCGACCGCAAGCACATTTTCCTGCCCAAAACAGTTCCATAGATTTGGGCTGTGAGGTCGGTCTATTTCAGGCTGAAAAAACGACTAAGTCCCATCGCCGAATGGGACTTAGTCTCTGCAGCTGAAATAAGACTGAACCGAAATGCCATGTGTAATAATTCCGTATCGGCACAAATTATTTTGTACAAATCAATTCAGCTGAACCAAACAAATCTGTTTCCTGTACACACAGGCACACACAGTCGCACACTCCCATAAACACACAGCTACATACTCCTACACACACACAATAATTTCATGAAATATGTACTCTTCCTCTCAGCATGCTACCCAAACTCTTGATAAATGGTGCTCCCCTACACTCTGTGCATCAGTTAGTTTCATCACTGAAGTCACTGAAGCTACGTCCCGTAATTTCAGAACTTTAGTAATGAGACTGGCTGGGGCACAGCCAGCCATTAAATAGGAACCTGATAATGGCTGTGATTCAGACCAAGTCACCTTCAGTGAGGGACCGCATAGTGATGCCAAGGTTGGAGTGATGTCAAATTCCGGCTCTGGCATCACTTCAGTGCACGCGAGGGAGCTGAGCAGGAAGAGCTGAAAAGAAAGCGCTCCCTTGCCACCTGCCTACAACCTATAGAGAAATACACCCATGCATTAAAATGCAAACTTTATGTACAGACACAACAAAATAAAGAAAAACAAGAACTGATGAGAATATCCCATGGAAATGGAAATGTTCTAATTACTGGCGTCTAAAGCAAAAAAGCAAAATGCCAACATTCTGAAACTTTCTAACCTTTGTTGAACCTCTGTCCTATCATCTTGCACCTTCTGCTGCCTTGTGTTGCTGTGAAAGTATCAAAAAACAGATACACACTTCTTCATCACACAACTTAGTCTAATTTTAAAGGTGCTACACTGCTTCCTCTGTTTTAATATTAGCTGGCGAGAACAATAGTTTAATCTTCTAAAATGTATTTCTAGTCGTGTTCCTATCCAGATTATTCTGACTCTGACATAGAAATGCCCCTCCTGTTTTTATAATTCATTATGCAGATAACATTTAATTTGGACTCAGCAAACTTTCTTCCTTCTTACTGCTCACTTGGCAAATTAGTATCTGATCAGTTTTCAGCCAATCAGCACTCTCCGACATAAGTGTATGATCGGGTATATGTGTTACATCACATTTATGAGTAAAATGACTTAACGTTAATCACTAAGCAATCTATTCACTGTATATTAAACTGTACTAAATCATCAACCCTGTTGGAAAATTTAGCCCAGTATAGCTGCAATAAAAAAACAGCTTAGTGATTATTCAACTTCATATTGTGTAGCTTAGACATCTATTCGCCACAATTCACTTTCATTGAATAATTTACCCCTTAAGTGTTGCTTTTGTGTCTAATCTAGTGATTAAAGAATTCAATCACAGATGTAGTTAATTAGTTTTGCTTAAAATTCCAAAGCACACATTTTATCTATGTAAAATAGCAGTTTAACACCTAAAAAAGCACAACAGAATTAATTTTTTTAAATGGAATTTTATTTGAGAAATTTTGCATTTGAAAAGACAGTATGACAGAAAGCACTTATATACAACCAAAGCATTTTTTAGTATTTTTTTTTTTTTTTTTGGTATGATACAAGTTACCTTACAACCATTATTTTCTGCAAAATATTTGTCTTTTCAGACAAAAAACAAAAAAACAAAACAAAAAAAAAGGAAAAAAACATATTTCCCTAGACAAAACTTACAGCTAAGGCACAATTTGTTAGGCTAAAATAAAAACATAGGGTAGTGCAATAAGTGTTAAAAATCACATTCTACTACAAGAAATGTATTCTGACATTTTGAACTTTTAAGATGGTAAAATTTAAGACATTTACATTTTTCAATTCATAAAATATTCAATGAAATAAATAGCAAAATATCTACATCTTTCAGTGTCTGCCATTTATTTTATTTTTTTTTATTTTTGACAACATAATATTTATTTATTCAATATAAAATATTACTGTACAATTTTAATGCACAATATGATTTGTAACAAAATATTTAGAATTTATTAAACTATGTCACTACTGAATATTCAGTTTAAAAAAAAAAAAAAAAAAATGAGCGAAAACAGGATTTTATTTCTGGTAAAATAAATCGAAATTAAGAAGTAAACTGTACTTTAACAGTAAACAATTTCATTAGCCAAGCATATTCCCTTTGTAAACTCTTTGTGTTTATGTGTTCGCTATAGGGTCAGCATGAATAGATGCCAAAAGAAAGGATTCCAACCAATTCACTGCCAGAGCAAATGTAGAACATACAGTGTTGTTAATGAAGTAATATAGATGATATAAATGTAAAACATCTGTGCACAAAAGATTTCCTCTTCAAACCATTCTAAAAAAAAAAAAAACATACATGATAAACAAAAAAAAAAAAAGTGTTTTTATCATTATAAAAGAGTGTATTAATGAGCGTAATTGGCAGATGACAGAATTTATAATGGGTAATAAATGCCAAACTTGGTCTAATAGATTTTTTTACTGCTCCTTTGGGTCAAAACAACCTTTTTTCTTAACTTTATATAAATCTTGCAGATGAATATTGATCAAAAACCTAGATTGAGCAATAGGAGGTATAGCTGTAAAAATACAAATATCCCAATCATATATAAATTGGGACAATTATTTGATAAATTGCCCTTTTTGTTGTGTTACCATTAAAAGAAGTCATTACAGATTTTCAGGAGTCTAAGCAACTATGGTTCGTTATGTGTTGTTGAAGTATGGCATAGATTCCACTAAAATGATTACGTACTATTATATAGCCAACGCATTTCTCAGATAGACCATGTCTAATGCGGAGCACACTGTATCCCTAGCTTGAAAGTCCTGCTCTAAATAGCAATCTCAAGTTACCACAATGCCCCAATGAGTACATGTGGTAATCAAAAACAGCAAAATTATTGGTGCATAATACATTATAACAATAATTTGTGGTGTCACTGTTGCATTTTTCACAAGAATTATAATGCTTTAGCTCAAACGCCTTTAGCATTTTAATAATTTTATTTTGGCATCTTCCAGGATTCCAGCATGAATCAGTATATTTGGTAGGGGATGCATCAAAGCTTAAATGTAATAAATGGATTATCATACTGAATTAAAGGAACACTATAGCTTTAGGAATACAAATATGTATTTCAGACGCTATAGTGCTCTGTTCACCATTTAGGTGGCCAGGTCAGTGCCGCCAGCATAAAAAGGTAGGCAACTCACCTTTCCTTCCTCAATGCACCGGTCTCCCAGCTCAAGCTCTGCTTCTTTGGCTGAGATCATCAAAATCAATTATCTCAGCCAATCCAATGCTTTCTTACAGGAAAAATGGCACACTGTGCTATTCAGAAGTCTCTATCTGACTAAAATAGCACAGTTTTAATCTGCCATTTTTTGGTAGTCCCTCTAGTGACTGTCAGAACTGCAGATTGTCAATGTTTTCAACTTCAGGTTCAATTGGGCGTGGGGGGAGAGGGGCACATGGCCTATTGTGTTCTTTTATGCAATATAGTCTAGTTATTAATAAACTATCATTAAAAAGTGATCAAATGTCACTTTTGTTTTTCGATTAATCGGTCCTCCACCATTGATGCATATTACAATGATCAGATTCTGTGGTTTGCAATATTTATTTATGGAGTGTATGACCACTGAATTAACATTTCTATAGACGACAGAACTAAACAGTCGCACAGTAAAAACTAAAAACTCCTTTAAAGGACTTCAACTCATTGAACTTGTGTAGGGATACTTTCTTACCTTAAGGGTGAAATTGTGTATAAGGGTGTTCTCCAGTGCTTTAACAATTTGAGATAATTATTTTTTAATAATTTTGCACAAATAATTTATTTTAATAGAAAGTAATATTCACATATTATTAATGATACAAAATTGATACAAAACTAGTGAATTTCTGCTCTGCTATGGTAATGAAATGTCTAGTGTCTTACTAGGCTGTTACTGTTTACTGTTTAACACTAGACATTAGGTAACATTTGCTTAAGTAACATTTACTTATATTTTCATTTTATAGTTAAATTTTTATCTATTTTTTATTATTCTGGTATTTGTGACTTTGTAATTTATTTTTTTATTCTTTTAAGGCCTCCCTAGGACAAATGTTATATAGTTGTTATGCCACTGAACTCAATGGGGAAAAAAGTAAATATAAAACAAATATATGCGTATAATTAACTGCAAACCATTCATCATGCAGCTATGCTAAACAATATAACATTCAAAAATACAAAAATAATAAATGTGATTTTTCGAGTAAATGTACGAGTCTGTTATCGATGTACCCATTATATATTTGTCAGGTATCAACAGACAATTTAGCAGCATTGATGAAAGTACTTAAGAAAGAAATCTGACCTTCCTACTGTTTACAGACAAGAAGAAATATGGTTCTTGCTACTCTGGTTTAAGGCCACATTGCAAACGTATAAAACATAAGGCTTTGTAAAGGACAAATTAATCTCATAAGACATTGTATATTACAAGAAAAATATACTAATGGTATATGAAATTAAAATTAAACACACAATATTAAACACCTTATTTCATAACTAACGTGGAGATCCCAATCATCAATGTTGTGGATTGTATATTAACTATTCACTAATTATGATAAATATCTATTTTACAAGTATTAGTAAAAGAGGTGTGTGAATTGTATCAGTTATACTTTTGAACTCTCCAAATATATCTTGTATGGCTCTCAGTATCACTCAAACATATTCCATTTGTGAACTCTTTTTTTGTCTGATGGCCATATCTTTGACCCATTGCTTAGTTCTCCAGGTTGGGGTGTCAATTATTAACAATCGTTCTGTCTAAAAATTTAAATCCCATGTCTGCCTTTGTGTTGGAACTACTCCATTTGACTGGTTACATCAACTTTCAGGTCTGATGGAGCACCCTTTTTTTCCATTTATTCCCCACAGGATGAATAAGGTGATCTTTAGGTCATTGATCCAGATTATACAATTACATATATGATACATTGACAAAGATCAATAAAGAACAAAAAAAGTTTTGACCTTCTCTGGTAGAAGTACTGTTGAAGAAACTACCCATGCTTAATTTTTTTAAAATATGAGCGCTCATTAGTACGCTTAGATACAGCATATGAGAAATGCAAGTTTTCATGCTTGACTATGAGTTGCCACATATTGCCAATTCAAACATGTAACATACAACAATGGGCAAATAGAACAGTATTAGGGAAACCTGCAATCGTTCTTTAGACCTCAACTAATTACATGTTCAACGAGGATGGTATCTCTGACTTCCAGCTCATGTTTATTTAATACAATGAAGACCTAATTAATTATCCCATTCCTTGAATTTTTCTGTTCCACCATCATGTAGTTTGTTTTTAGAGTGCAAGAGGGAGCAAGACAAAATAATTTACAAACAGAACATTTTTAATTATCAGATATTAAAATCGTCTTTTGACATACTTGTGCTTAAGACATCCTTTCAGGGTTGCTGGGCTGCTGTCCCAGCAACGTTTAAGGGTTTTCGGAACTTTTTCCTTTCTAAATATGGGATCTTTGCATTTGTTAGATAAATTTAAAAAGTCTTTTTTAAATTTGTATAGTAAATTATTCTATGGATCAAGGACACAATATTTGTGGGTTTTAACTGTATTATTTGTATATCTGAAACTATTTAAATAAAGCTTTAAAAAAGAAAAACAGTCAGAGAATGACAAAGCATGCTGTTTTTCAAATGGAAACTTGGTTGAAGTTTAAATGCAGGATGTAGAATATATATCGTATGTGTACATTATATGACTCGTGAAAAACATACTTATACAATATCAGAACTCGAAGAATCCTTGGTAGAATTGGCATCCACTTTATAAATCAAAAAAAAAAAATTACTTACTGTTTAATTTATCAATGAATTAACAGTGTTGGCAAATTTCTCATAAAAGTTATATAACAGTGTAAAAAAGTGTAGTTAATTTTAAAAATAGGTAGCCCCTTCAAGGGAACCTATTCATTAAACCCAATGAGTTCCAGTGAATAAATAACATGATGGTATATTTAGGCCAAAATAGCTAAATCGGTTCAAATCTCAGGTATTATTTTAGACATTTACTTCCATTCTCTCGAACTTGAATAGCGAATACACTGGAAAAGTTTGCTCACATGTTAACTAGTCTACCCGCTCATATTTCAGTAAAATCTCCCACAGACAGGCAGCTGCTAGTAGACATTTTGTTTTCTGTTATGTATTCATAGACTGGAGTTCAAATAGGTGGAACATTAATTCATTTTAATTACTTCTACATGATTGCAAAGCAGGTCATTCAGATCAACCATGATAAAACACTATCTGATTGCTACAATCATATATGTATGCGGTACTTCCAACTTTATAAAATAACACCAGATGTAGCAATTATGAGGCCAAAAATGGCAAAAAATAAGAAATACTGCATTACTTTGGAGGTATATTAGCGAATGCATTAAAAATTACTGCCAGGATAAGTAGCTTGTATTCCTTTTTAAAAAAAATTAAAAATGGCGAAACAAAGCTATACTTTTCTTTCTGAGGTACATTTTTCACACAAAAAAAAAAATTACAGTGATATGATATTTATGAAGAAGGGAAACATGAAATGCCATAGAGAAGCTACAAGAGCGCACATATTTCGATGACTTTAAAATGATTGGTCGGTAAAATGGCGATGTAGATCTTGTGCTCTGTACACACTTTCCGCTAAGCTGTTAAAGTGAAAACTCCAATTGAATTATTACAGAACTTAGAATGCCCCATGGTCTATATTAAATACATTTCACTATTGGCATAGAGATTGAATAGTGTCAATGTTGAAATACATTTCCAGAAGCAGTGAAAAAAAAAATCTTTATATTTCACAAAGAATCTACAAAGGGTGAACACTTTAAATGCATATCAATTATTTCCTAGTGAACGATGATTTACAATATATACCAACGGCTATCATTATTACAATATACAAATACAGCACTGTGAACAGCGCTAAACATTATTTACTCTGTCATCAGAGAAGCCTGTACAGTATCTTGCTGTTTATTTGGCAAGGTAACAAATGGAGTAATGCCATTTTGCCTTCTTTTTCTTACATAAATGCTTGTGTTGCTATATTTTAGCACTTTAATCCTTGCTGGTACTTACTGCATGGTGGGTTTGCGTTACCTTACAGGAAACACTACAAATACGAATCATATAGCTGTATGATACAGTGCATCTTTGTGGGTTCTCTGTTGTATTTTCTGTTGAGAACAATATTTATATGCAGTAAATGATTCTATCACAAACTATCCAAAAAGGTAAACGGCACGTAAAAAATAGCATTTTTATAAGAAGGAGAACATAATGGCATTTTCCCCTTTACAATGATGAACATGACTATGATGCAAACATAAAAAAATACTAAACAAGTGATGATTTGCATAGTTTATACATTCAACTTAATGCGTTTTTAATTTAGGATGCCCATATCAGTTTTCCCATCAATCTGTAAAGTGAGGTAGCACCTTTGGTAGCACCCTTGGCAAAACAACGTTGCACTGATGTAAAACACGACAATAAACAAGACTGAACCATAATACTCAGGAAACATTTGAACAATCACATCATCATATAATAATTTTGTCACAAAAGTACGCAAAAGAAGGAGAAAACACTGGATTTGCGCTGTGAACATACCTAAGAGCGCCCTGTAATTGTTCTGGAGAAACACCATTGAAGTATCATTCTCAGGTTTCTGGGGCAGTGCACTGGTTTGGGAGTCCTAGTTCAATCCAGTGTTGCCTTCTTATTGTGGTCACCAGAAAAGTATGGGAAGGACTATGGTTGAAAAGATCTCATTTATGGTTAACTGGTTCGGTTTGACAAGGATGAAACTAAAGGAAAGTTGGTATTATATGACCTTCATTGGTTGTTTGAGGTGCTAATTTACGGTGCTTAACGTTATACCAGATACATTTTATGTCCAAAAAGCAGAACATTAAACTTCAGTAAGGCATTCATAAACATATAATGATACTGACATTTTTTTTTCACCCACCCCATTAGAGTTTTATATCTCTATTAGGCCATATTGGCCAAAGTGGAGACCTGTTTGATCTTGGGTATTTTGCCATTAATATATTTATAAAGCTTACATACATCACACACAAATGCTCAATTTATCATTTTTGTGGATTTAATTTGATTTTATAGTCAGAAACCCTACAACATATTACAACACGCACAGAGCATGACCTCCTACGGGTTATGAATAATATAGCCCTGCAATGGTATGTGTAGAAATGAAATAGATGATCAACATTTCAAACCCCTTTCTCTTGGACGATTGATCTAGAAGTTCTTAAAAATGTCCATAGGCAATGGGTCCACTGTCTATTATTCCATTTAATAAATCCTACACTAATCACTATTTAGAAGATATACTCCCAATGAAAACATGTGTGCATTTATTTTTGCATGTTGGCATTAGGGGTATATCTAAAAAAGCTTGCAAAGATGCAGAACTTCTCTATGCAGCCTTTGCAAGCCCTTCCCCTTTTTTCCCCAGTTGTGCCAGAAAAATGACCAATCAGAGGCTTTTCATTAACAAGTCTCTGATTTCAGCATTGAGTGCTTGCATGTATTCAGCAGGGGGTGGGGGGAGAAGACTGAGGAGATTGCCAGTGCCAGGAGCAGGAGGACATAAGAGCCCAAAATTACAATGAGTCCTAAGGACGGGCAATCACAGGTTTGCGTCAACTTGCGGGAGGCAGCTTCAGACACGTTCTAGAAGGCTCCCGTTACTTCAGTGGAGGTAACAAAAGAGAACCTCCCCGGCTGTTTGATTTCCCAAAGAAATAGGTACTTTTATAAAATGCCATTAAAATAGGATACTCCTTACACACAAAGCACTTCAGAAAGCTAAAGTGCTTTATGGGTGTGGAGTGGTCTTTAAGGACCAATGACAGTTGATGGTATAACAATCTCATTCTTGAGAATCCTGTTCTAAAATTGAACATCTCCCTGCATACAATTACCACTAATAAATTAACAGGATTATCCATTCTATGATGGGATCTTTAAGGATCGGACTAGGATGATAGCAAAGGCCTTAAAGGATTAAACATATGTGAATTGTCTGTACTTTTATAAATATATCAATCATTTGTTGTCAAAGATACAATACAGAATTCATAAACTCCAAAGGCTGATGCAAAAGTACTATCATTCCCACCCGGCCTAGGAATGTTTGGTTGGGGGTGAAGGAAGCCTTAGGGAACTACCTTTAATTCTGTGTACATATTAATCTGTATATATAACTATGACGTATACATCCATATTTAATGCTTTTTAGCAGGTTAGTTCATAATAGATAATACTGTAAATCCCAGCTGCTAGTGATCACAGTTATTTAATAAACCCCCAATATGTCTTTCCTTCCAAGTTTTAATTACAGCTATAATTAAACAAATTCAGTTAACTTGGAAATAATATCCCCATCTCCTTTTTGGCATAGAACTTAATGAGCATATTCAGATCACAAATTGAAAACATTCTTTATTACAATCTTTGTATAACGTTCTAAGTAATGTGCAACCACAACTAAATTGCAATAAATATATTTGCAATTTAGGCCTCATATATTAACCTGATAATTATTTTTACAAGGTGTAATATTTTATGACAATATTCTATTTGATGTGGAAATTCGAATGTTACTATTTTTTTTACATACATAAAGTAGTAATATAACTGGTGGGAAGATTAGTTCATGTTTGGCAATGAGGGACAATTCGGTACAGACACAAATCAATTTAATATTGATCGCCAGTTTTCATGCGAATGAAATGGCTGTTATTGTAGGGCGTCCATGTTCAAATGTTAAAGAATAGGTTGCCTCACTTAACAAAGTTGTTTTCAACAGTCCAGTAAATCCTCATCTAAATTTATCAAATAATTTTTATAGCAAGTACATTTGTGTAGAAATAGCAGTGGATGGGAAATTCATATGAAGACTTAGAATTATTTTTGTTTTTGTTATAGAAAGAGTTACCGATCACGATTATATAACATCACTGCGGGCTCATTCAACCTTCTACTTCCCTGTAGATTGCAGTACTAGGGGTTAATCATATCAACTCAGCAAACCCCGTGCTCTGATTGGTTGCTGGAATCAATGCTCTTAGCATATTTTCTATTCTTTATTATTGGTTAAGACTAAATATTTATGACCTGCTTCACACTAAAGTAAGTATTAGCTATTCAAGTGGTACTATACTTTGTCTGCATGAAAATATGTTTTTATAGGTAATATTTTTAAAGTTTTGAAAATTTCAAATTTTAAGGCCCTATTTATTGAGTAGCCATAGTTAGCTTCATGTAGCCATCCATAAAGAAATAGTGATGGTCTATAGTCCTAGATGTTATAATGTCATGTAAAGGAATATTTTGAAATAAAGTAAGCCAAGCAATGCAGTGGTCTGACACACACTGTGATGATGATGACGGCATTCAATGGCTTATCATGTAATCGCATGACATTACTGTACTATGTTGCCATCTGTTGAAGGGAAATGGTCACATCTCAGGAATTACACCATTGATTACAACATTAAAAATAAAGCACCTATAACTCGTTAACCTTTTTTTCTTGAGCTGCCCTGTTTTTTTGTTTTTTTTTAAATTGTAAGAAAATTCCTTGCACCAAAACCACTACAGCACACTTTTGTGGATATGGTGCCAGGAGTGCACTAGTGCCCCGTCAATGTCAGTAGCCAACTATTTTACAACGGTTTGACTTCTTACCTGTGGTCCACCAGCTGTCACTCCCTATCTTAAAAGGACACTCCAGACCCTGAAAGCTCTTCAACTTGCTTAAGTACTTTATGTGTGAGGAGTCTGTCATCTTTTTTCATGAATCAAAAACTGCAGTTTTCAATAGAAGTGGCACTTTTAAGAATTAGCATTGTTACTTTGCCCCTTCCCCCTCTCTGTCAATCAGATAACCGGATCGGTTACTTCCTAGTTTGGTTAACTCTGTGAAGCTTAAAAACCAAGAGGCAGCAATTGCCCAGAATACCTGTCTTGCAAAGACTTCTCTTTGAGCTACACTGGGAAGTCTGTGATAGAACAGCCACCAAAAGTCTTGGTTGGTTTAGAATGGGAGGGCTTGTAATGTCTGTTTTTAGAATTGCCCCTAATAAAGAAAAATTGAATAATTAAAGGGACACTATAGTCACCAGAACAACTACAGCTTAATGTAGTTGTTCTGGTGAGTATAGTATGTCACTGCAGGCATTTTTATAGTAAACACTGTCAGAGGCTCTGTGTCTGAGCTAAGCCTGGTGAGGCTAACATCATTGGCTGAGAGTGATAAGCTGAAAGTCTTTACCAATGAACTAGCTCTGCCCTGCAGGATTTAGCACGTGAGGGATTACATAAACTCCTGTTTAGGAGCTTTCAGGTCTCAGGCTGAGGTAAGGGAGGTGGAAAGTTGTACTTGAAAGATCAAAGATAAGTCAAACCGTTCTAAAATGGTTTGACGTCTTACAACGAGGGGCACTCCTGACATAGTAACCATTAGAGAGTACTGTTCCTTTAAAGCTTTAGCATATGACAGCCAAATGCAGTTTAGACAAGGTATATCCAGAGTAAACGTTGCAAATGAAGAGGAGAAATAAAACAACGTTTCTTCTTGGTATGTTTTCTCTATGCTGACTGCCAGGTGAGAAAGAAAACTATATATTGAGTCTATAGCAGTGACTAACAGAACTAAAATTGAGGGGTTCTATTAGATGATAGAGAAGTGTGGATTTCTACATTAGACCTCAAATAACAAATTTGTAAAACATGGGAATATGTAAACATAATATTAAAATTCCGGGGATGTAACATATTCCCTTTAAACCTAGTAGCATTTGAATCCATGGCTTGCACGCTAAACATGCCGTGTGTTTGGATGTATATTATTCTGCACGTAAATGGAACTTTGAAATATCTTTTCATTCTTATGAGATAGTGAATTTTGCCTCCGCCTCTGAATTCTGGTACCCCTGAAATAAAGATAACATTGTACATTGTACGTACATATTTTTCTTTAACAATTTTTACGCCTGGAAGGGTCTGCTAGTCTTGCAATAATCTATAGGTGGCAACAAATGTGGCCTGCTAAATGGTTTCAATTCAAGCGTGAACTGACTGAAATTGTCACACAAAAAGGGTTATTCACAACTATTTTTGGAAATTACCGGTACATTCTAAGTGAATTTCAAATTTAAGGCCAAAATAGCCGAATTGGAAAAAATCACAAAGTCAGCTATGCTTTCAGTTTAGCTACTTTGGTCTTAAATTTCAAATTCAATTTGAATTCTCACTTATATCCTTTAATAGCCAGACTGAAAACATTTCTGACGTGGGATATTTTTATAATTTGGATGCTATTAAAAGTCTATATTGACTTTGAGCTCCCTTAAATTAGAAACATAGAAACATAGAATGTGACGGCAGAACCATTCGGCCCATCTAGTCTGCCCAATTTTCTAAATACTTTCATTAGTCCCTAGCCTTATCTTATAGTTAGGATAGCCTTATGCCTATCCCACCCATGCTTAAACTCCTTTACTGTGTTAATTCCCAGCCAAGTCCTACTTGAACACCACATAAGCTTTCAAGTCTATTTAAGTAAATGACAATGCAATCTGGATTCAGCTTTATGTATAGTAACCTAGAAATGGTAAAAAGGTGATTTATTCCTTAAACAAACTTAATTGTGGGAGCTGACACGTAATATATTTTGCAGCTTTGCGGTCACTTCACTATTTAGTGAATAAGTTACTGCTTAATATTGTAATATACTAATTAGCTTACAGAAGACAAAACATAAAAGAAATCACATTATGTTATCAGAAAATTTGGCAGATGTGAATATACAAAACACTGCAGACTTTTAAAACCGGTAGATGTGACAACTGTAAAACCTATGTAGGATTTTAAGGCGGTGAGCCAAGGTGATTTAACCCCTTAAAGAAACAGCTTCAGAAGTGAATGACCAGCATGACGGAAAATTTCAGTCGTGTGTCATTAAGGGGTTATTTATGCAAATGTTTTTTAACTAGGAACATTGATTTAAAACGCTATCACAAGGATTCCTAACACAATGATTACACATGAAAATGCAGAGTGAAAGGCCTTCACTGAAGAAAGGCAGCGGTAGTTAGTAAGAAGATAAATTTCAAGCTGCAAAAGCAGCATTTGCTAATTAGTCACTGACTAAAAATATAAATAATAAATATCTATCATATATTTACTTCTTTTTTGTTAATTTTTTTTTTTTTTTTTTTTACCTACGCGTCTAAAACAAGTCTGCCTCTGTTTGTATTCATCCAGAAATTATTTCAATCTAGTTTTTAGCCATTTCTCTGGTTTCCAAAAGGCAAAATGTCAGCACAGCTGACACTACAATGCAATATTCTAAGCAAACTGCAGGAGTCAAAGGATTAACTGGTAGTAGACTGCATATTGCAGACATGCAAACTGTATACAGCTGCAACGTTGCCAGCGGCATCCAGTGTTCTAAAATAAAATAATAGACCAGTACTTCAACCTTGCTACAAGAGGGTCCCGCGAGGGTTCATAAGCAAATCAAATGCAATACATTTTAAAAAATTTAAAATTATTAAAGATAACGCATGTTTTATCTCTGGTATATGTAAAAAAAACTCAGAAGAAGGATATTAAATATAAAGGATTAATTCTAGGGCAAGGTTTTACATTTTGCAGTAACATTTCACTGGTTTTATGGTGATTGCTCCACATTTACACTTTTTCCCCAAATTGTTCTTGGCACACCCCACCCAACCCCAGGAATCAAAATTTCAAAGGCTATTTGCACGAACCTTTTAGAATTAGATGAATAACGTATCACATTGTTGATATTGTCCATAATAAGAGTATGGTATTTGTGTGGGAAAAAAAGAGGCTTACGCTTAACTGAGCTTTTTGACTCTTAGCTCTGGCAGTGAATGGGGTTCAGGGTTTACGTTCTGGAAGCCCAAACTGAACTGGGAAATTTAATACTGTCTGCAGAGGTGGAAACAACAATAACGGCAAAAGGAAGACATCTCTCTTGGGTTCTTTGTTGTGACTTTGCTCTTATTTCCGTGGGTGACTTTTAAGGTAGTGTAAATTTTGTGTTTGTACTATACAATTTGTTATTTTATTTCCTCGTGTTCAAATAATGAAATCTTGAATTCTTACACTTTGTAGTACATCTGTACAATTTCACAGCCTATAACTAACAGTCAACTGAAAATAAAAATGATATATATATATATATATATATATATATTCATCACAGTCATGAACTTAGTATTAAAAAAAAAAAAAAGATTGCAATGCACTGAAAAGCATTCGGGTCAGAAAAATGTTTGTGCATGCGCGTGTTTGTGTGTGTGATGTTTAGTCTAGCAAATGCAACAGGTGTCTAGCTGTGAATTGTGCATTCAAAGTATAATTGGAATGTCATGAAATTACTATAGACTTGCATCAAATGTCTTTGCATATTGCATTTGATCAAATCTAAAAATTATACAAATATAGAAAATATAAATAACACATACCTTTTTGTTAGCTCTTTAAATGGACATATGACAGTTGTATTTTAAACCTAGTTTATATACCATGGAAGGGGCAGTAAGTGCTATTAATAGTTCATGGGGCAGAACAGAGCAATATGTTATTTTAAAATAGTTTGCTCACACCTTAGGCACTTAGAGAGTTATCGCACTGCTTAAGTACCTGCTTAATGATGTTTTAACTACAATGCACTTATGATGGCAAACATGTATTAGCTAAATTATAGATATCTTCATTCCCCCCTAGATACAAGAAATTTGGGCAACACCTCCGAGATTACTTTGGCAAAACTGGGATTACTTAAAGGCCACATTTAAATATAATTTCTTATAACGAAATTATTTTATTTAAAAAAAAATGACTGGTGAATGTGCTATAATATTTAAACAAATGCTAAACTACACAAAAGTAGAAAAATAGAAGACATTTGTGCAAACAAGACAGGGGCTTCTTACTGTTTATGTGGAAAATAGTTGGAATCTTTTGAACATTAAAGCCCTTGGTCAGTCAATACTGTTAATGAGGTGCCATATATAGATGAAGAATTATCACTGCAAGTTTAAAAACTGTAGCCACTAGAGGCAACTGGGTAGCTCTTCTGAAGCAACCCCATTCATTGCCAGAGGGTTGAAGGACCTTTATTCTTTAACCATTTAAGCAAAAATCCATTCATTAGCTAGGAAACCTTAATTTGGATTGGTATGACAAATGATTAATTTCCCTTTTATATCCTGCGCCATTAAAGGGTGTACTAGATGCTACCTCAACCGTCCATCATGTTTCACAAGGCCAAGTTCTGATTTAGGGTCAGGACTTAATGAACTCCATGCTGTCTGGGCACAGGCTTGCATAACTGGGCAGGAGGATGGTCCGGTGGCACAGATGTCTACTGCTGACCACAAGTTATCAACCAAGCTGTCCACCCAGTTTTCCAGCTTTGGCCCTAAAAGGGCTGCATTCTTCTTTGCTTCCTCTACTTGAGCTGTATTTATGGGTATGTTTAAAACAGGATTTAGACCTTGGAAGCTCTGTTCCATGTATGCATTTTTCGGAGGTCCACCATGAAACTTGCTCAGCTCCTCTGGAAAGATGAAAACAAAAAACACATATTAAAACTTCAGATTATTGAAAATAAATATCCATTATGCCAAAATTTTGTGTTCTATTCACCTATATGTTCAAATTACTTGAACGGCTAAAATTCAACTTAACCCCTTAAGGACCAAACTTCTGGAATAAAAGGGAATCATGACATGGCGCACATGTCATGTGTCCTTAAGGGGTTAAAGGACACATTCTCCCCCCCTCCCCCAATCATTCAAATACATTTCCATGTTAAAAATGAAGTCACCACATTACCCAAGAAATACCCCAATGGTCCCCAAATAACTGTCTTACATATTTTATGTGACTTAGTAGAAATAAGTTGTTATGAGATTATATCCATGAAACATAATGGTATGAATTCTAAGAACTCTTCCAACATTAATAAACTTAAGACATTTAAATTGCCCATTGTAAAACATGTTACATCATGGATATAAAGTAGTAAAGTTCTGGTGAAATTAAATGCAGTAGAAATATATAAATTCCAAATGGGCATAAAAAAGAGGTGCAATCTCTACAATACATAGCTTCTTGACAAAGTGAATAAACCTTAAAGGATCACTGTAGGGTCAGGAACACAAACATGCATTCCTGACCCTATAGTGTTAAAACCACCATATAGCCACCCTGGGCCCCTCATACCTCTCTAAAAGTAGCAAAATCTTACTTTTATGCAAGCCTGAAGCTGTAGCTCTGCATGCTGTTTGACTCAGACTAGTCAATAGTCAAAACCTGTCTGCTGGCATCAGCAGAAGTGGTGGCCTGATCCAATCACAATGCATCCCCATAGGATTGGCTGAGACTGACCAGGAGGCAGATCAGGGGCAGAGCCAGCATGATTCAAACACAGCCATGGCCAATCAACATCTCCTCATAGAGATGAATTGAATCAATGAATCTCTATGAGGAAAGTTCAGTGTCTGCATGCAGAGGGAGGAGACACTGAATGTTTGGATGCATTTTAGGCAGCCATGACCCAGGAAGGATCTCTAACAGCCATCGGAGTGGCCAGTGAAGTTATCACTAGGCTGTAATGTAAACACTGCATTTTCTCTGAAAAGAAAGTGTTTACAGCAAAAAGCCTAATGATGCTACTCACCAGAACAAATTCAATAAGCTGTAGTTGTTCTGGTGACTGTAGTGTCCCTTTAAACAAAAATATCCTTCTTGGATGCCACAATACCAGACAGTAGTCTGCTATAAAAAGATATGGAAGGGCTGCGCCAAATAAGGGTAGATAGTCCAGTAAAGTATTGCTATATGCTATTGGCTCCAGTGGCGTACATACCGGGGTCGCGGCCTCGACCGGGCCCAGCCCACCAGGGGGCATGGCCGCTCCTGCGACCCGGTATGTACCCAGTGTGGCCAGCCTCTTCTACTGGTGGGCCCAGAAGCCGGCCACCTCAGGGCCCCCCGATGCTGGCCCTGGTATCACCAGGCCGGCGGGCAGGTGTGCTTCCTCTTCAGCTCCCTCGCCCACCGCACTGATACCGGAGCCAGAAGATGACGTCATCTTCCAGCTCCGGCATCAGTACGCGGCGCGTGAGGGAGATGAAGAGGGAGCACTCAGGGGAGAGTGCTCCCTCACGCGTCCGCCAGCCTGCCCGCCCAGTGACCGGCCGCCCAGGAGCCCAGCAGCACCACTGGACCCCAGGGAATCCCCTCAGCACTCCAAAAGGTAAGGAGGCTGGGGGATTAAATTAAAAAAAAAACATGTGTGTGTGTTAGTGTGTGTGTGTGTGTGTGGGTGTGTGTGTGGGTGTGTGTTGTGTGGGTGTATAGTGTGTGTGTGAGTGTTAGTGTGTGTGTGGGTGTGTGTTGTGTGGGTGTATAGTGTGTGTGTGTGTTAGTGTGTGTGTGTGTTAGTGTGTGAGTGTGTGTTAGTGTTAGTGTGTGTGTTTGTGTGTGTTAGAGTGTGTGTTAGTGTGTGTGTCTGCTAGTGAGTGTGTTACTGTGTGTGTTACTGTGTGTTACTGTGTGTGTTACTGAGTGTGTTTGTATGTGTCTGTTAGTGAGTCTGTTTGATGTCTGTTAGTGAGTGTGTGTTTGTCAGTGAGAGTGTATGTTTTGTAAGTTAGTGTGTATGTATGTTTGTTGCCGAGTGTGTCTCTGTCAGTAAATGTGTGTGTCTGTTAGCTAGTGTGTATGCGTCTGTTCGTGAGAGTGTGTGTGTGTCTTCCGGCGCTGGGGATCCCTCCGCCTCTCGGCTCCGAATGCACATGCGCGGCAAGAGCCGCGCGCGCATTCAAACCGTCCATAGCAAAGCATTACTTAATGCTTTCCTATGGACGTTCAGTGTCTTAGAATCACGGAAGCTCCTTTAGCGGCTGTCAATGAGACAGCCACTAGAGGCTGAATTAACCCTCAGTGAAACATAGCAGTTTGTCTGAAACTGCTATGTTTTCAGCTGCAGGGTTAAAACTAGAGGGACCTGGCACCCAGACCACTTCATTGAGCTGACATACCGCGGTCGCAAGGGGCGCAGCCCTGAAACCCCTGCGACTAGGTGCCCGCCGCCATGTGTTGCGACCCCGGCCCGCGCAGAGTAAGTGCGCGAGGGGAGAGGGGCCCGCAGATCAATTTTCGCACCGGGGCCCCATGGGTCCTGTGTACGCCACTGATTGGCTCTGAAAAATAAGTTTAGGTAATTAGATGTAGGAGGGCACAAATTATATTGGAGATTCATATTTTCTAATTGTCAGGAGTGCAGAAAAGCTTGTTGTACCATACCATAGCAGGAAGCACCAAAACAGCTTTCACACATTTGTCTCACTGCAGATTAAACATTTTTATTATTTTAACAGTTTTTGTTAGATCTAACCACATAGATAGATTATGGCTAGCTACAGTATTAAGTCAGAGTACAAGGATGACCCGACATAGGTCATTCAACATAACTGTGAAAGTCCTGAGAAGTCCCAGCATGAGTCAAACACTGTCTGTCTTCTACAGAGCTGTTCTAGGTAGTTTGTGTAATTAATATCGTACAGTCTTGGCTCCTGGTCATAACTCATTTGGAGATGCCATTTGAATGACTCTATAAACCTGTTATACTAAATGTAATGTAGTGGGAGCCCTGTCTGACAATATCACTTTTATGATTTGTATTATGCCCCCATTGGGCTTATGATCTTACATTTATTTTATTTTGGTTTGTTTCTCTTTTAACCTTGTGTTATTTTTTCAAGGGTCTTCTCATCCACGCTGTCCTCTGTTCTCCCCTCTATCGTGTGCCTCTGTTTTTTCATTATCATTCTGCTCTACGGAATAAATGGGTGTCTCTTTATAAGTGTATCCACTGTACCCATAGTGCTAGGGCCGCAATAAGTGATACATAGCAGCATAATTATTGGACCCATGGTGCCCGAACGTCTTATTGATAAAATGGGAAAAAACCCTTGATGTAAGTTTTAAACATTAGACATCAGCAAAGATAATATACCCAGCAACTCGCTAATGTTTTGCTGAAGGTCTCTGACATTTTTCAAGTCTATGCTGGATAACCAAAATAATAGAGTGGTAGGGTCAAAGTAGCTTTAAATTACATTTCAGTGTCCAAAGCTATGGCTTTTTTTTACATATACTGTATATCT